CTTTCTTCATAACTAAAATGCTCCATTCCTTTTATCAATTTTGTAGCTCGTCTCTGCACTTTTTCTAGTGCCATGATATCTTTCTTTAGAACAGGTGCCCAAAATTGCACAGCATATTCAAGATGTGGTCTTACCAGCGATTTATAAAGAGGCAAAATTATATTTTCATCCCGAGAATTTATGCCCCTATTTATAAATGATAAAACCTTTCTGACCTTAGCAACTGCAGATTGACATTGCATATTGCTGCCTAATTTGTTGTCTATAACAATTCACAAAGCCTTCTCATGTGTGGTTATCCCTAGTTCACTACCATTTAGGGTGTAAATTGCTTGTCAGAATATATAAACAAAGGAAACAGCGCTAAAATTAACCAATACTACAGGGAGTGCACAATTATTAGGCAAATGAGTATTTTGACCACATCATCCTCTTTATGCATGTTGTCTTACTCCAAGCTGTATAGGCTCGAAAGCCTACTACCAATTAAGCATATTAGGTGATGTGCATCTCTGTAATGAGAAGGGTGTGGTCTAATGACATCAACACCCTATATCAGGTGTGCATAATTATTAGGCAACTTCCTTTCCTTTGGCAAAATGGGTCAAAAGAAGGACTTGACAGGCTCAGAAAAGTCAAAAATAGTGAGATTTCTTGCAGAGGGATGCAGCACTCTTAAAATTGCAAAACTTCTGAAGCGTGATCATCGAACAATCAAGCGTTTCATTCAAAATAGTCAACAGGGTCGCAAGAAGCGTGTGGAAAAACCAAGGCGCAAAATAACTGCCCATGAACTGAGAAAAGTCAAGCGTGCAGCTGCCACGATGCCACTTGCCACCAGTTTGGCCATATTTCAGAGCTGCAACATCACTGGAGTGCCCAAAAGCACAAGGTGTGCAATACTCAGAGACATGGCCAAGGTAAGAAAGCCTGAAAGACGACCACCACTGAACAAGACACACAAGCTGAAACGTCAAGACTGGGCCAAGAAATATCTCAAGACTGATTTTTCTAAGGTTTTATGGACTGATGAAATGAGAGTGAGTCTTGATGGGCCAGATGGATGGGCCCGTGGCTGGATTGGTAAAGGGCAGAGAGCTCCAGTCCGACTCAGGCGCCAGCAAGGTGGAGGTGGAGTACTGGTTTGGGCTGGTATCATCAAAGATGAGCTTGTGGGGCCTTTTCGGGTTGAGGATGGAGTCAAGCTCAACTCCCAGTCCTACTGCCAGTTCCTGGAAGACACCTTCTTCAAGCAGTGGTACAGGAAGAAGTCTGCATCCTTCAAGAAAAACATGATTTTCATGCAGGACAATGCTCCATCACACGCGTCCAAGTACTCCACAGCGTGGCTGGCAAGAAAGGGTATAAAAGAAGAAAATCGAATGACATGGCCTCCTTGTTCACCTGATCTGAACCCCATTGAGAATCTGTGGTCCATCATCAAATGTGAGATTTACAAGGAGGGAAAACAGTACACCTCTCTGAACAGTGTCTGGGAGGCTGTGGTTGCTGCTGCACGCAATGTTGATGGTGAACAGATCAAAACACTGACAGAATCCATGGATGGCAGGCTTTTGAGTGTCCTTGCAAAGAAAGGTGGCTATATTGGTCACTGATTTGTTTTTGTTTTGTTTTGAATGTCAGAAATGTATATTTGTGAATGTTGAGATGTTATATTGGTTTCACTGGTAATAATAAATAATTGAAATGGGTATATATTTGTTTTTTGTTAAGTTGCCTAATAATTATGCACAGTAATAGTCACCTGCACACACAGATATCCCCCTAACATAGCTAAAACTAAAAACAAACTAAAAACTACTTCCAAAAATATTCAGCTTTGATATTAATGAGTTTTTTGGGTTCATTGAGAACATGGTTGTTGTTCAATAATAAAATTAATCCTCAAAAATACAACTTGCCTAATAATTCTGCACTCCCTGTATAAATAAGGATAGTGTGAGGCAGCAAACCTAAAAATAGGGTTCCCTCCAAACCCTATAACCGGGGATACTACAAAATATAAAATAAATGAAGGTTGCGCCAAAGCTCACCGTAGTGCAGCTACTTATGAACAAAGTCCAGAATATAGTAACAAATCTATGAGAAGAGAAAACCTTTACACAAAGGAGATACCGAAACAAAGTCTTAAGAAAGCCTGATGGGACGCCAACGGCCTATGTAGAGGAATATTCTCTATGCGGATCGTATGGAGGTAGTTTCACAAGATCCGTATGGAAAAGAGAGGAGAAGATAATAGTGCAGTATGTCTGGTAAAAATAGTAGATAGCAAGAAGAAAGGGTCTATGGTAATCGTACTCACTTGTAGTAGAGCTAAACTAGCTCCAGTGTGGATGGCATACAGCGGTACAATCCCCGCTTATAGGATACATAGGGAGTTGTTAGTCTTTTATTACGTATGTGGAAGAGAAAAGACAGATGATACAATACGTTTAATACAGATGGACCAGTAGTATAACAGCAGGGTCTAAAGTAGTCCTACTCACTAGCAGTAGAGCTTGAACCAGCTCTAGTGTGGATGGCGTACAGCGGTATAGTCCCCGCTTATAGGATATGTGTAGAGAGGTAAGTACCATACCAGTATGTAGACTGCAGGAGAGAAGAGAGACAATTGATAGTGCTCGCTGTCTTAAAATAATATCAAAGGAGTATAAGTAATAAATTATGTACTCACATATGATTGAGCAGGCGGACACTGGCTGTCTGCATCAATGCAGAGTAGGCACCTGCCTGCCCAAAATGGCAGGTGCCTACTCTGCTTTCTTGTCGGGAGGACCGGAAGCAGGAAGAGGTATCACGGAAGCAGCTCTCCTGTCCTCCCACGAGCAATCTGTGTGGAGTGTTGCCGCGAGTTACCATTGCAATGCTCCACACAGCATCGCACGGGGAGGACAGGAGAGCTGCTTCACAGACCGATATCTACCACCACCAGACCACCAGGGATGCCCCCCCCAAAGGTAAGAAGGAGGGAGGGGGGGATACAGATTTAATATATCTTTAAAAAAAAAAAAAAATTATGTTTTTAACCCCTTAAGGACCAAACTTCAGGAATAAAAGGGAATCATGACATGTCACACATGTCATGTGTCCTTAAAGGGTTAATTTATCCACCCCTACCCTCCACACCCACAGCACCCCTACCCCCCCAAACAGCACCCCTAGCCCCCCCACACACAGCACCCCTACCCCCCACACACAGCACCTGACCCCCACACTCACAGCACCCGACCCCCACACACAGCACCGCTACCCCCCCCACACACAGCACCCACACCCCACACACAGCAACCCTACCCCACACTCACACAGCACCCCTATCCCCTGCACAACACCCCTACCCCCCCATGCACACACATCACCCCTACCCCCCCACACACAGCACCCCTCACACACAGCACAGCACCTCACACACCCACAGCACAGCACTCCACACACACTCCACACCCTTACACACAAACACATACACTGCACCCCTCTACGCTATATGTGTGTGTGTGTGTGTGTATTCAGACAGTCCCCCTGTGTGTGTGTGTGTGTATATATATATATATATATATATATATATATATATATGTAACCATACGTAGTGTATTTTAATATTAAAATCAGTACATATATTAGTATTAAAATACACTTAGAATTAAGTTATATATATATATATATATATGATATATATTTTATATTTATATATATATATATATATACGTATAATTACAATGATAAATAAATAAAATAACAAAATAAATACAATATTTAAAAAAAATGAAAATAAATTATATACACATATGTAATTTAATTCTAACTGTATTTTGTTATTAATATACATTGGTAACAAAATACACTTAGAATGACATTCAATATATATCTCTCTATATATAAAATACAAATAACCGCACATATATATATATATATATATATATATATATATATATATATACCATACCAGTAGAGAGCACTCAGGAGTCTTTCAAGGTAAATTTCATCTGTTGCTTTATTGAGCAATTACAAATTCACACAACGTTCCAGTCGACGTTTCAGTCTGTAAAATACTTTTTTCAAGACCGTCTTGAAAGATACTGCAAGTGGGGTATGTCCAGTCTTTTTTAATAACCACTTAGTCACAAACTACTACTTTTGCAAATGGTATGCCATCATGGGGGTAATTCTCATTCCTGGGCTACCACACCGTCTCAAACATAACATTACTAATCTGCAAATTTCAATGTGAATAAAACAGAAAAATGGAATGTGCTATATTTGACCCTGTAACTCTCCAAAACATCGTAAAACCTGTTAAAGAGGGGTACTGTTGTACTCGTGAGACTTTGCTGAATACAAATAGGTGCATTTTTTTGCAGTATAAGCTAAAACGTTACAGCTAAAATGTCAGGCGGAACTACAATTTTTTTAAAAAAAATCTTAATTTCTCACAGTTTTTTTTTTATTTTATTCATAATAAATTATGTTTCATATATAAATAGTTCATGAGAAATTAAAGCCCTCTTTCTCCTGAATAAAATGATATATAATAAGTATGGTTGCGCTTAATACAAAAGAGTTGAATTACAGTTGAACAGACATATAGCGCTAATTCCAGTTTTTGTTTACATTTTGTTTTGATCAGAACGTTTACTATTGACTCCGTCCTGAAGGGGTTAAACACACAGAGCAAACATTCTTATTCTTCTTATTTTATTATTTATTTAGCGCCATCAGATTCCATAGCGCTCTACAGTGGGTATACTAACAGACATGTAATTGTGACCAGACAACTGGAAGCACAGGAACAGAGGGGGTGGAGGGCCCTGCTTACATTCTAGAGGGAGTGGGGTATAGTGACACAAAGGGTAAAAGTAGGGGTACAAAGTAGGTTGTTAGAAAAGTATTCACTGAGGGCTTAGTATGTAATTTTTTTACAGTTGCAGGAGAGGAGTCGTGGGGGGTGGGGGATAAAAACCTGCTAACAGTTTAATTGATATGCTTTCTTGAAAAAGTGAGTTTTCAATAATTTTTTTAATGAGTGGAGAATGGGTGAAAGTCTTACGGAGAATGGAAGGGAGTTCCACAGAAGAGGTGCAGCCCTGGAGAAATCTTGGAGGCGAGCATCAGAGGTGGGAGTATGGACAGAGGATAGACGTAGGTCTTTGACAGAGCGCAGGGGCCTCGATGGGACGTACTTGTGTATTAGGGAGGATAGGTAGGTTGGAGCAACATTATGTAGGGACTTGTAAGCAAGCACCAGAATTTTAAATTGAGCTCTATATATAACTGGAAGCCAATGCAGGGACTGACAGAGCAGGGAGGTGTGAGAGGTGTGAGTGGACAGGAAAATGAGCCTCGCCGCATTCATTATAGATTGCAGTGGTGCAATCTGGGAACACATAAGACCACTGAGAAGGGAATTGCAGTAGTCAAGGCGAGAGAGAACAGCAGCATGGACCAGCACCTTAGCCGCATCCGGTGTTAAATAGGTGATTTTGAGAATGAGAGGGGTGAAGGAGAGGTTGGAGTCAAAAAAGAACAACTAGGCAGAAAGCCTGTGAGGTAGAGGTGATGGTAGCAGCGTAGACTTGGAGAGAGACAGACACGGTTGTAGCAACACTTGAGGGAGAAAAGACCAGAAGTTCTGTTTTGGACAGGTTGAGTTTAAGGAAGTGAGCAGCCATCCAGTTGGAAATCGCAGAGAGGCAGTCAAAGACACGAGTCAAGATGGGCGGAGAGAGATCAGGAGAGAAAAGGTAGATTTGCATGTCATCTGCATAGAAATTATAACGGAAGCCAAAGGAGCTGATGAGTTTACCAAGGGAGGCAGTATAGATAGAGAACAATAGGGGACCAAGGACAGAACCTTGGGGGATGCTGACAGAGAGTGGTTGGGGGGAAGAATCAGGAAAAGAAACACTGAAAGAGCTGGGAGAGGTAGGAGGAGCATCAGGAGAGAGCAGTATCTCGTAGACCAAAATTACGGAGAATGCGAAGAAGCTGTTGATGATCAACAGTGTCAAAGGCAGCAGAAAGATCAAGGAGCATTAGGATAGAGTAATGGCCGCGAGATTTAGCATCAATTAAATCGTTGGATACTTTGGTCATAGCCTTTTCGACAGAATGACCAGCGCGGAATCCAGACTGAAGGGGGTCAAGCAGAGAGTTGGATTTGAGAAAGTCAGTCAATCTGGTGTGCACAACTCTCTTGAGGATCTTGGAGGCAAATGGCAGTAGAGAGTTGGTGGTAGTTGGATAGGGAGTTGGGGTCAAGGTTGGGCTTTTTCAGAATCGGGGTTACAGTTGCATGTTTGAAGGGTGAGGGAAATGTGCCAGAGGAAAAGAAGAGATTGAAAATTTTAGTGAGAGGAAGAGCAAGAGAGGGAGACAAAGTGCGGATGAGATACGAGGTAATAGGACAGAGAGATCAGGTGGTGGGGCTGGAGGACCGAAGCAGAGCAGAAACCTCTTCTGCTGTAGCAGGTGCGAGTGAGTTTAAAATGGTGGAAGGTGTGGGGTTGGGTGATATATTGGTAGGGGAAGGAGAGAAATTAGAGATCTCTTCTCAAAAATGCCAAAATTGCTTGTACAATACAAGCAAACTGAAGCTGTGCCCTTAAAGGGATAAAGAAACAGACTTTAAAACATCATTCCAATGTCATCTGGTAGTTGTGTTATTTGCATGATGTTCAACGCTGGACCCTGAATTAGGAGAATCTTGGGAGCATTCAATCATTTGCAGGAAAAAAGCAAAATAAAATGAACCATAAAGGGAAAATAAATATAAAACAATATAGAACATTGAAGTTTTATAGAAACTGCAATTTTTATATTGCTAGGTATAGACTGTCTCTAGTGGCTGTCTATCAGACAGTAACTAGGCGTGCTTCCTGCTGTTTCACAGAGTTTGACTTCGTGAAGCAACGCTCGATGCCCTCACGCTGTGCATGAGGACATCCAGCATCTTCAAATCCCCTATAGGAATGCATTGATTCAACATGTGCACTTGACCCACACATGCAGTAGGTTCTGACTACGGAGAAGGAGGCAGCCTTGAGGGATCTCTACACTGGAATAAAGTTATTGAATTCAAGAGTATGCCGTGGTGGGAGAGGGAAGGAGAGGGAAGTGTGTGTGTGTGGGGGGGGGTGGAGGGAGAGAAGTACAGCAAACACAAACTCCAAGGACTCCATGTTTAAAATGGAATGAGGCAAAATGGGATTCTTTGTTGAATTAATTTGCATATACCCACACAGAATCCTTTGCAGTAGTAACATCACTGCAGATTTGTGATTTCTGTGGGAAAAGCAAGTCTTATGGCTTGACTGGTGTGCAGATCTTTGTTTAACATTGCATTGATTATCCACTGACTTGGACTTGGTGGAAGGAGTTTTCCAACACACTTTTCCCCAACATAATTTTCTTGGTTGTGGCCTCTTTGTCTAATTGAATAGCTTGACTTGTAACACTACACCTTGCTTTACTTTCTCAGTGATTGTATGGTTTTACATTATGTCATACTCTATAACATTCATTATTGAAGCTTGTACCTAGATTAGTACTGTGACCAATTTTATAGGCAGAACTCAACAGACTTTAGCTCTTCATTCTGGGGAAATCAAACCGTGTTAATTCATTGATACAATCCCAACATTACCTGTACATTTATCAAATAAACACGTAATGTTTGTATATATTTTGCTACATCTGGATCACAAGTATTGAGAAGGCAAATTCTTTTTGGTCTAACTTGTATAATATGTACTTTTCTCTCCTGTGTGGCATAATATCAGTATTGTAATATGCATTTCTACTCACGTAGTCAAAGAAAGCAATTCAATTTGTTTGACCTGATCTATGCCATAAATCATGTTGTTTCTCAAAAGGGTTGTGAATATTAACCCTTCATAACCATTTCAACAATTTCTTTACTCTAGATGTCATGTTTACACCACATCTGCTTTATATAAGTCTTTCATCACTATTCCAGATAAAAAAAAAAAAAAAAATTAATAATAGTGATTTTTTTTTTTGTCATGTGAAGCCAAAGATGGTGAAAGATGTTGAACTTTCATCTCTACTTATTTTGTATACAATTTAAAAAAAAAAACATCTGCTTTTTGCTTCTCAAATATGTACACATCTTGGTTTCAAGAAAACCTTTTATCTCCACCTATATATAGATATATATGTATACTTCTTTGCAAAAATGTTAAATATTGTCTGGGGTGGGGGGGTGGGAGGGGGTTGTGCCTTGCACAAAACTCTTTTTTTTGTGCAAGAATTAAATAATTCTGACTTTAACTATACTTTACTAAACTTTTTGTTAATAACATATAAGTGTGTGTGTATATGTGTATATATATATATATATATATATATATATATATATAATATTTTATGTTTTTAAATTAGCTATGAAAATGGCCATATGTTTGGAACACCATTAAAGGCCAAAGCCCTGGGACCCTGCCTACACACATCACCCATATGATTAAAATTAAAATGTATCAATGAAATAAAGATTATATATATGGTACCTCCAACAAAATCAGTGTTTATACATTAAAACATGCTGTACGGCAGAGGTTAATCCATAGAAATGTTTGGTCAATATCACATGAGCCATGAAGTTGAGAAACAGGAAATTCAACATAAAAATGGTTGGTAAATCATACAGACAGAGATGACACAGTATGAAATGACTGTGAATTATTTATGTAGAGATAACAGCTAATACTGAAGTGATTAGTCCAGCTAAACGCTTTAATAAAGAGGGTTTGTAGGGTCTGAATAAATCTGGAATAAATAATTGAAAAGTTGGCCATGCATTAAGATGACTCTGGTTTGGAACTTGTCTTTTCTTATATTAGGTATGTTGGTTGTGATAATTTACATGTGTGCCTAAAAGCTAATTCTAAATTAGGCTAGGACATGCTCAGTAGTCTTAAAATCATTTTAGTTATTATTGTTTGTGACACAAACTTACCATTTCCAATACCAGTCCCAAAAATAATCTTATTACAATTGCCCTCAACTCCCATTACTTCAAGGAAGCAGAAGTGTAGTTTGAAAAGAAAATGCCAGTGCAAAAAGATTTAAATTTGGACCATGTCTCCTAATTCCTTCTGTTATGCAATTCTATAATTTTTAGGAATGGTCAACATAATATCTTAACTCAAATAGCTAGGATGATATCAACCCATTAGCCCTAGTAGGTCATGCCCTATAGATTAAGATTCATGCTGCTCTTGCCATAGTAAATGCTTCAGGGGCCAGATTTGCACAGTCTAAACAAGCCTTCCGCAGTCTAAGCTGCATTTTACTGTCTAATGTTTAGCAATTGTTTTGCACAATTGAATAAATCTGTTGTAGTTTGTTTCTGTCTCTTGCCTTTTTGCGTCATAACTAATATTTTTGAATATTGACAATTTTTTTCACCGACGCAACAGATTTATGGGTTTTCTGCTGCTAAAAGTGTTCTGTTTAATTTCTGTTTTTCCCACAACTGTAAATTTGAGGTCTTCTAAAACAGAAATGAAAGTGAATTGAAGACTGATAGAATTTACAATGAATTTACAGCGAAGAAAACTGTTTCTTATTACATTACATTTATAAATATGATCAATTTAACTTTTCAGAACACTTTGATACTTAGCCCCCATAGATGTGATACACATAAAGTTTCCAGTTTCTCTACAATTCTCACATCCTGTCTATTATTTTGTACATCTGGCTTCCATTTTCTTTGTCACGTAAAACACAATGTGTATTAAATACTCTGTAGTTTCTTTAACCCATACATTTCAGCTCTGGTTTGAAATGTTTTAAGTTTTTTCAGAAAGGCTATAGACTTGATATAGGGATTCTTCTTACTCAAAAATTCTGTTTTCTTTGCAATGTATAAGGCTGTTGTTCCATTTTCATTTTGTATCTATTTGCAATTGTTAGCTTGTTTTTTTCCTGTCTATCGCTTTACAAGGTGTTTTTTTTATCCTCTTCTTCCTTTGTGATCCTTTGAGATCAGTTTCCTTGTTTTTTTTAAATTACTCATGCATGGAAAACATGGAAGGCAAATGAATTAGGAATACTAATTACATCCTTTATAGCTGTGTAGTGATGTCCCGAACGGTTCGCCGAACGGTTCGCCGCAGACTCATCATTGAGTAAACTTTGACCCTGTACCTCACAGTCAGCA